GATTCTTTAACGATTCTTTAACGATTCTTTAACGATTCTTTAACGATTCTTTAACGATTCTTTAACGATTCTTTAACGATTCTTTAACGATTCTTTAACGATTCTTTAACGATTCTTTAACGATTCTTTAACGATTCTTTAACGATTCTTTAACGATTCTTTAACGATTCTTTAACGATTCTTTAACGATTCTTTAACGATTCTTTAACGATTCTTTAACGATTCTTTAACGATTCTTTAACGATTCTTTAACGATTCTTTAACGATTCTTTAACGATTCTTTAACGATTCTTTAACGATTCTTTAACGATTCTTTAACGATTCTTTAACGATTCTTTAACGATTCTTTAACGATTCTTTAACGATTCTTTAATGATTCTTTAAAGATTCTTTAAAGATTTTTTAACTATTCTTTAACGACGATTCTTTAACGTTTCTTTAATGATTCTTTTTAACAATTTTTAACAATTTTTTAACAAGTTAACAATTTTTTAACAATTTTTTGACAATTTTTTGACAATTTTATTACAATTTTATAACAATTTTATAACAATTTTATAACAATTTTATAACAATTTTATAACAATTTTATAACAATTTTATAACAATTTTATAACAATTTTATAACAATTTTATAACAATTTTATAACAATTTTATAACAATTTTATAACAATTTTATAACAATTTTATAACAATTTTATAACAATTTTATAACAATTTTATAACAATTTTATAACAATTTTATAACAATTTTATAACAATTTTATAACAATTTTATAACAATTTTATAACAATTTTATAACAATTTTATAACAATTTTATAACAATTTTATAACAATTTTATAACAATTTTATAACAATTTTATAACAATTTTATAACAATTTTATAACAATTTTATAACAATTTTATAACAATTTTATAACAATTTTATAACAATTTTATAACAATTTTATAACAATTTTATAACAATTTTATAACAATTTTATAACAATTTTATAACAATTTTATAACAATTTTATAACAATTTTATAACAATTTTATAACAATTTTATAACAATTTTATAACAATTTTATAACAATTTTATAACAATTTTATAACAATTTTATAACAATTTTATAACAATTTTATAACAATTTTATAACAATTTTATAACAATTTTATAACAATTTTATAACAATTTTATAACAATTTTATAACAATTTTATAACAATTTTATAACAATTTTATAACAATTTTATAACAATTTTATAACAATTTTATAACAATTTTATAACAATTTTATAACAATTTTATAACAATTTTATAACAATTTTATAACAATTTTTTAACAATTTTGTAAAATAATTTTTTAACAATTTTTTAACAATTTTTTAACAATTTTTTTAACAATTCTTTAACGATTCTTTAATTCTTCTGCGATGTAAAAAAACTTTAAAGTCATGAAGTCATTAATTTTTTAGTAGATTTAGCCGTATGGCATGAGGCTCCGTCCTGTTGAAAGACAAAATCTCCGGATGGATATAACTTTGCTGCACTTGTTAAAAGCGAATGTTCAAGAATATCTTTATATTTGGCTGCGTTTACCATGCCTTCAATAAAGTGTAAAGTTCCCAACCCTTTGGCCGACATACAACCCCACACTATGATGCGTTGCGGATACTTTACAGTCCTCTTGAGACAATCCTTATGGAATGCTTCTGTTTTTTCCCGAAACACACGCTTTTGGTAATCTCTCACACAAATATCAAATTTGCTTTCGTCGCTATAGATTACTTGGTCCCAGTTATGTTTGGTCCATGAAAGTTTTGGGCCAATGTAACGATTCTTTTTTTGAGTTTCCTCCAACAATGGTTTTTCTTTGGCCTATTCGAATAATTTAAAAATTAGAAAACTTATACCGCAAAGAAGAACCTAGTAAACATACCTACCTTATAAAAACTAAGACCGCTCTTGTGGATATATTTGCGACAGCATTCTCTGAAAACATTCATCTCAGTTTCTCTATTCCACCTTGCGGTTACTTCTCGTAGTGTATTTCTTCTTCCCGAATTCCCGATTTACATATTCTAATTAAACGCCTTACACTTCCTTGAGAAACAGCTTTTGGACGGCCTGAGCTTTTACCCCGAACATCAATACTGGCAGTTTCACCATATTTCTTAATTATATTAAACACAGTAGTTGTTGCTATATTCAATTCACTGGAAATTTCACGCATTATTTTCCCTTTATGGTATTGATGAATAATAATTTCTCGCACTTTTGGATCAGTAGGTTTTCCACGTACCATTATTGTATTTTACTCTTAATAAAACTGACAGTTGTTAATTATTAATACTCAAATGACGCGTGACAATTATTGTTGATAACAACACACTACTTACTCGTATGTTTCATTTCAAAGCCTCCTTCCTTTGCGTTAGGCTAATAGAACTCAAGAGACCTAAGGCAAAGCTAAATATGTTCCAATATTTAGTTGTCAGCATTTTTCGATTGTCAAACAACTAATTAAATAGTAATCAACAAAAAATTTATAATTAAACCATAAAAATAATTCCATGCATCATAAAAATTGTTGTTAATTTCATATTTACAATTAAACAAAATAGAATAAAAGAATTTCGTTAAATTGGCATTTTATTCGCAAAATAATTGCTTGTTCAAACATATAGTTGTTAGGGCTCGTACTATCTACTGGAATTAATTATTCATATTTATTATTATTAATCTGATGTCTATTCTTATATTTATAATGTTATCAGTAAGTGTAAAGCTACCAATATCCAGTGTTAATTCCGAACACAATCGTATGTTTTTTTACCAATTCATGTTTATTTACGTAGTAAGTGCAATTATTTATTTGAAAAAAAAAGTAGAAGTAAATAAACATTATTATATAATTAGGCAATTTAATACCTCACTGTATATTATACTAGCCAAAATAACATTTTTTTTATATATTATAATTATCTATATTTACAGTTTTCGTACCTAACCTCCTGAAATACATCCGTCTTACTAAAAAATTCGTCATAGGATTTGGTTGGCGCCATGAACACTTCATCGGGACTTTGATGCCTGCAATGCATCATAAATAAATACGAGGGTATTGCTGAAATGTTTTAGACTATATTGAAACCGCATGAAAATTTATCGAAATTTTGAGGTCAAAAGTAATTGAAGATCAATATTTTGGAATTTGAGGAAGTAAAAGACAGAAAAGGTCACTGGGAAAAATGCAAATGGAAAATTACCAGGAAAAGATGGAATTAACATCGAACTCATTAAATATGGAGGCAACAAATTGAAAGAAAGACTATTATCTCTAATTCAGAAAATATGGAAAGAGAAAAATGCCGGGAGAGTGGGAAATAGGAGGGGTGATAACAATCCATAAAAAAGGTGACCAACAAATATGTCAAAATTACAGAGGAATAACACTTCTTAATACAGCATACAAAACACTTTCAGTAATAATACAAAGACGTCTTTTTACCGCCCAGAGAGTGTCATTACTGCTAGAATACTTATACTGGGGTTATATGTTCAACTAGTCAACGGGATTTTTAGGCTCTCACTTCAATACATTGTTAAACGTATTTTACAAAATTATTTTTCGGAATCTGTGTTTTTTATAAAACGACAAGTCATATTTTATAATTTTTGATCACCCTGTATAGATATATCTTAAAAGATTTATTGATGTTAATAAATGTTAAATAATAGGGAGTGAATAAGTATTGTTCTATCAGTCCAATCCTGCTTTCCTATATACAATTAGTATTTAAATCAGAAATCTATTTTTAATTAAGTTAATTTGTTTAACTTTGTGGTTTATTTATCACTGTCACTTCTACTGTCTAGGCAATAAATGTGATTTGGCGACATTTCTGTGATAGTCCAATACTACTAAATTTCAATCGTAGAAAAACATTTTGGATGTTCCTCGTACAGAAAACGTGACCAATAAACAGGAGATTGTCCTTTAGACGGTGGGGAATTCCAAATAAAACACACTAATGGACAATTCCAGGTTTTATGTCGCTTTGTACGGGTGCGAGGGAAGGACGTTTCAATGAATGTATACGGAAACTCAGGTAGGAAATGCAAATAAAGTAAGCGTCAGATAATTTTCCCTATTTCTACAAATTCGGTGAGACTGCAAGGGACAGTTTGGTACAAAAATTTAGGAATACAATTTTTTTTATTATACTTCATGTAACTATTTAGTTTTTAGCAAAGTTTCATTGACCGAATATTCAAATAATCAACTTCATAACTGTAATTAAAGTCAATAACATTGTGAGCATATCAAGTTTGGAACAATAAATAATCTTGAGAAATAAATGCTCCATCTTATTTTTTATGTGTACATATTTTGTAAAACTTATATTTTTCTTGATGTCATCACGGTTTCTGTTATGACACCATCAGTTTTATCATTTGAAACACTTTTTATATATTATTGACGCATTTTGTGGTACTTTACATACTTATAACAATATTTATAAGATTAAAAAAGTTTTAGGGTCATTCTACAAAAAGGGGACAATTCATGTCCACTTGATTTTTTCAAATAAAAATGGAATATTACTTGTTTTATAACCAGTGTAATCAAGACATATAAAACTGTTATATATCTACCTTAAGTAAAAATACTATAAAATTTAATATTACTAGTTTTTTTGTAATGTTTTAACATCAAATGTCAACACCATAGTGTGTCCAACTACCTATTTTTTATTTCTTATTAAATATTTCCACACAACAGATAGTCCAAACACACGCTTAAAACTGTAAACGTAAAAAAATATTGTTCAATTATCGTAATCATGAATGTCCAGTGCGAACTTTTGTTTATTTCTCTATTTTTTTAACCCTTAAAAATGTCCTACAAGTTTCGCATCAACACCGTTCTCAATCATGACGTCGCAAAATATAGTAAAGTAGAGGGAGAAACATACGATTAGAGATTAGACTTACATTTACATAGTATTATTCTGTTAGTTGAGTGTACGATGTCAACCAAGACAGTTGTTTGAGACATTAGTGATCCGTGCTATATGTTAGTTGCATAAAGGTAAGCGTATGTTTATTATTGTCAACACCGTATAATGCATTAAATCTGATTTTTTCTTAAATTTTTTTCTCGTAAGTTTTTATTATTTTATTATTAGTAAGACTAAGTTTATATTTGTAGTTTTTCAGCTCTTAAATGAAATAAATGATTAAAATCTGAGCTTAAAGTATATTTTCGTCAACACCATAGCCATCAACACCGTAACACTGCAAATCTACGGAGTTGATGATGATCTACGGTGTTGACATATTTGTGTACAAAGAATACTTGTAATGAATTATTTTTTGTAGAAGTATGAAAGTTATTCCAGAGGAAGAAAAGAAAAGGAAAAAGGCAGAAGCCCAACGAAGGCGTCGTGAAAAATTAAAAGGGAATCCTGAACTTTATCAGAAAGAAAGGGCCAAAGAAAAAGAAAGATGGGCTAGACGCGTCAGGGACGGTAAAATTAAACAAATTAAAGATTTAAGTCGTCGTCAACAGAAGTCCAAACGTAGAATGTGGCAAAACAGTTCAAAAAATTATAGAGATAAAATGAAACAACGAAAAAACGCAATTACTCAATATATAAACGACAATACACCGCCGTCTAGTCCTGTTAGTTTTGATGCTAGAGAAAGACCAGGCACTAGTAGAATTTCTGCAGGTCGAAAAAGAGTGAGAAAAGACAGAGCTAAAGCATATCGCAGGATTGAAAAGTTAAAAATGAAACTCAAAAAGCAAAAAAGGGAAATTGAAAAATTGAGAAAAAGAAATCAACGACTTCGTCACAAATACTCGAAAACAAATTCGCCAAGGCAAAATGTACTTTCACTTATTAGAAAAAATCCCGTCTCAGCAGTGGTTAAGCGAAAGCTTTTGTTTCACGAAACATTGATGGCTCAGCTTTCTGATAACTTTAGTGGACTCAAAAGTAAAGAGCGTAAACTTGCAGGTCGTATTCTTACTGGAGAAATTATAAAAAGATACAAGTTTAAGAGTAGGTTTGGATTTCTTACTTACAAATACCAACGAATCCATAAACTTCGAATTAATGCGAAGGTTAGAAGACAAATTCTTGAGAAAGAAGTTCAACAATTTTTAGAAAAAGATGAATCAAGTCGTGTCTGTCCAGGAAAGAAAGACACTGTCACTAAAAATAAAATCAAAAAACAAAAACGACTCCTAAACAAACCGCTAAAATTATTGCATAAGGATTTCATTAGAAGTACCTCTAAACCTATTAGTTATGCATTGTTCTGCAAAATGAAACCCTTTTGGATCAGACAACCCGATGTAAACAAAAGAGATACCTGCTTATGTACACTATGTGAAAACGGTGAACTACTGGTGAAGAAGTTAAAACAAATAGATATCATTCAAGAAAATTCAGTTTACGCCTTAAGCAAATCACTTTGCTGTGATGATGACTTAAAAGAAGACTGCTTGGAAAGAAAATGTTCTAAATGTAAACAAAAGTTCATTAATTTGAATCAATTTAATAATGAAGATCTGATAACTTATCATAAATGGTGCACTAAAAAGGAGATAGTTCTTGTGTCTGGTAAGGAAAAACAATGTAAGAAAACTTTTAAGAATAAAATAAATTCTACAAAAGAGCACCTCGTTAATGATTTAAAATCAACAATTTTAATACTAATGCAACATATTGCTAACAAAAAACACCAATATAAAGAAATGGACACCCTAAAAGAGAACTTAGGCAAAAATGAAGTTATTTTGCATTTAGATTTTTCGGAAAACTATGTTTGTAAATATGAAAAGGAAATTCAAGCTTTCCACTTTGGTGGGTCAAAAAATCAAGTAGTATTACATACAGTAATGGTTTATATTATGGACGGAAAAACTTTATTAAAAAAAGCATTTTGCACATTTTCTGATTCAGCAAGAAAGGATCCAGTGGCTGTTATTGCTCATCTGAAACCCATTATTGACGAAATCAAGTCCCTGTGTCAACCTACTAAAGTGCATTTTATAAGCGATGGGCCATCAACACAATATCGAAATTTCAAAATGTTTCAGTTGTTTCAAAGCTATTTTCCAAATGAATTGCCAGAAACACAATTTATGACTTGGAATTACAGTGAAAAGGGGCATGGAAAAGGTGCACCAGATGGCATTGGTGGATGTATCAAACGAATGGCTGATCGTCTGGTCGCTCATGGAGCTGACGTAGCCAGTGTTAATGATTTAGTTAATACAATAAAAATAAATGTCAAGAATATAACTGCGTTATTCGTACCACAAGATACAATCCAAACATTTAGCACATATTTACCATCAAATGAAAAAGATATTCCTCGATTTAAAGGTACCCGACAGGCCCATCAAATAGTATGGAATATTCGTCAAAAACACATTCTTCAGTTCAGAAGACTTTCCTGCTTCAAATGTTGTGAAACAAATCCATGTCAGCACTTCAATATTGGGAAATTGACGTATACTGCAGATTGTATCCTTTATGTCTATTTTTTATTTACTGAATATTCTGTTAACTCAAATTATGATTAATTGGATGAAGGTGAAAAAAATGTTTTTCTCTTTCAGAGTTACCACTAGGTTTGCGACGTGCTTGAGATAAAAATAGTCTAGCAACTTTTTATAGTCACCAAATTTTCTATTTTGATACTTTTTATTTTTTTTATTTAATACAAATCGCATCAACCTCGAGGGTTATACTTTTCTTAACTTGTAAAATATATAGCTCGTTTACAATATCACGAGGTTTATTCGTCTGATTCAGAAGATATAGAAAATTCCTCCGCATTGGATAATATGATATCCAACATTAAGGCTCCCGTTCCCAATAGTTTTGTCATAGTTAAATTCGCAGGAAAAAAGAAGTTTAGGTATTATATAGGACACATTCTTCAAATATGTAATGACAACACCTTTGAAGTGAAATTTTTAAGAAGAGGAAAGAATGAGTACTTCATTTTTTCCAACGTTGACGATATATCTAATGTCGAAGTAGACGACATAGATACTGTTTTAGCAGATCCGGAAATTAAAAGAGGACATCATATTTTCAGTTCTTTGCCGAAGAAATACAAACTGAATTTGTGTTAGAAATGATTGTCATTTTCATTTCATTTTTTATATTTGTTTGATCTCATTTCGTCCCCTTAGGATTAATAATAAAACTGATTTTCGTTGTTTTCTAAACACCTTTAAAAACCGAGATACTTTTTTGTGTTATTAAGGGAAGCGGATGATTTATGTTTCTGTTTTTGATCTCATTTATGTTTTAATTTTAAATAACGCATTATAATAAAACTTTGAAGATATATTTGCGTATTATTAAGATATTATTAAAAAGGTAAACATCAAGAACTTTTTTTAAACCGTCAACACCGTAGGTAGTGAGTCAACTCCGAAGTCAACTAAAAACAGAAACTATTCAAAATTCATAAAATCTCAATGTTTGATTTCTGCTACTACTCATAGTCAACTTTGTTGGTACTATAGAATATATTAACTTGCTCGCAAGTTAAAAGTACGTCAGGCAATATTTTGAAAATGTCCGAAGTGAATTGTCCCCTTTTTGTAGAATGACCCTTTAGTATTCAACAATGTAATGAAATAAACGTAAAATAAATAATAAATACATTTAAGGCCGAACTTAAACTACCGTTAAAAGGTCGTGAACTCAAATGCCGTTAATAGACATCATGTCATTCAAATGACGCATTTGAAGTGTTTTGAGATTGTTTAAAGGAGAGGATATACAACAAGATGACGAAACAATGCCTTCTCGTATGGTGGCGGCTTTGCCATACCTGGCATAGACTGGACACAGCTCAGATTGAAATGAAAAGTCTCTCACAACACAAATCACTTTGGGAATCAAGTTCATCTGCTGGGCAGATGCTTTATTTAAGACATTATATCAGTCTATTAATGGAATTTTAGTACACGACCGTTTAAAATTTGCAGGTTTTTTTAAATGACACTAGATGCATCTAATGCGACTTATTTCATTATTACTGTACCTCCGATTTAACCGGAAGTTCCCTCAACTCCTTTTATTTAAATGATATACCCTGTATTTTTTGCAAATTTTAATATACCGACAGGGGATCAGTAGTGATGAGCGTGACTGGTCTTGGCCGAGTGTGCAAGACCAAGACCAAGTAGTGCAAGACTTACGCAAGACCAAGACTCTTGCGTAAGACTCTTGCGGTATTGCGTTCTTTAATTGTTGCCTGAAAATAAAAGGTAAGTATATAAACATAAACATTTGTCTCAAAAAACCTTGATAAAAACATATATTTATTACTTGACTGATATTTTTGGTATGTTTATACTAAACACCTATTTGCTTCTTTCATGTCCTTGTTCTTTACATTTTTATAGATGGACACCTATGACAATCTAGATCGAAACGCAATGACAAATTTTGTATTAAACGATTTTTTTACTGTTACAGAAAATTTTACCGCTAATTCTTTCCATGATCATGCGATTACACCGTGATGTATCGAAAGCACACAAAAAGTGACTCATTGGAGTGTTGGTCGATTATTCATTTCTCGAAACGGTTACTCACCATAAAAATCAACGTTTTCTCTCGACAATTCCAAGAACGTTAATCACCACTATCGTACGGAATGAAAGCTAAGTCACGAAGCGTATTATTCTTTAGTAATCAAATGTTTTGGTGATATGTATAATGTTGATAATAGTATTAATATGATATGATATTAATATGTACCTATCTACCTAAAGTCTATTTTTAAATCGTTTGTAAACACCATACCATATGAGATTCAATGAAAAGTAATTCAGACAAGTTTTAAAATATCGAGTAGGTAAAAAGATACAAACAAATACGTAAAAACCGCTTTATTTATAGCTTATCTTAAAACGGAAAACGGTATATATTAACAACATATTATAGAGCAGTGGTTCTAAAACTTATTTTGCCCACCGCCCACTTTGATAATAAACATTTGTGTAGCGCCCCCAAAATTTTTTAAGTATATTATATCTGAGTAAGTATCTAAAAAATGCCTGTAATTGAACATAAACAAAACAAAAATAGAACCGACTTCAAACATTTACTAAAAAGTAAAAAAATAATTAATTTTATTACAATTGATTAATAATAAATAAATTATTTACCCTTTCTGGGATGGGACCAACTTGGAGAACTCCCGCACAAAATGAGCCCAAAAACACTAAAATCCGTCAAGTCCACGGCGAATGGGAACTTCCTTTTTTTGAAGTCAGTTAAAAAGATACGAGTTTAGGACATTACGATGAAGATATCTTATTTCTGAACTTAAATTAAAAAGGTTTTTCTCTAAAAGGAATAAATAAAATAAGATATACACCTTAATCACATTTAAAATTATTTTTATTGATATTTAGAGAAAGCTTTGAATTTAACTAATGCGAGGGATGAATCTGATGCACTTTAACGAGTTTAGAAATATTCCTTTGCAAAAATATTATACATAAAATGTAAAATATAACGAACTTCCTTTACCACAGTGTTGCCGTTTCGGTACAATTGTACTGAATTGGCCGACAGGTCAATTTACACACCTATTCATATTGGTTAGATATTTTAGTTTTTTTTAAATGTTTCTCATTTAATGTTTAATTTTTTTCGCGAAGCAACCACGACGGCTTCAAGTTTTTTAATTTTTCTCATGTTATGTATATTTTTTGCGAAACAACCCGCGATTACTCTAGACTCAACTAGACTGCATAGGTAAACTGAGATACACAAGCCCGCACAAACCATCCCCACTCAATTTAGTCGATGCGACAGCTGTATTATGTCTAAAGGTGCGTCATCACCGAATCTACATTGCCGATCGACTCTGTCTATCGACATTGTTGTTCAACAAGTCTATAAAACTACATCTGTCCACACCAGAGTTGACAGAAATGTTTGTCGATCAGTCGAAATTCGACGTTAAATTCATTAGCAATTTCCATAAGGGCATCGTGCCTCAAGTTTCTGCTCTTATAGTTTTTGTTTTTAGAATCCCATAGATTTGTTCTCAGTTTGTATGCATCAATAAAGGCTATGACTTTATCTTGTTCCAATTTCATTTCTCCAACGAAAACAAAACTACAATGTCAATAAGGCAAGGCGTTACTGAGTAATCAATACTCGGTACTAACAGTTTGTCGAATGTCGAACGTCGAAAACACGTCCACACACTAAAGTCCATCGACTGCTCTTTTATGATTACCGACAGGCGATGGAAATCAAATCGAAATGGTTATCGATTTATTTTCTCGATCGACACCGTCGATTGCCATGTACACACAAAGTCGACAACGTCGATCGACAGTGTTGATCAACAAGCCTACAAAACTGCATCTGTCCACACCAGAGTTTACAGAAATGTTTGTCGATCAGTCGAAATTAACATGTCTGACAAAGATGACATTATAGTTGCTTGTGTCGCATATATTATTGTCGCGACTAAAAAAGAAAACTTGCACGCAAAAAAAATTTTTGGGTTCGACCGTCTTCAAAGTAGTACTAGATACAACGCTAGTAATTTGATAGACTTAAAAAAAGATGACGACAACATATTGAGCCTTGAATACAGGTGTAATGGTGGTTTCAGATTTTTTTTTCGAATTTCGGAAAGTGAATTTGAATATTTATTACAAGAAATCGTGCCTCAAGTTTCTGCTCTTATAGTTTTTGATTTTAGAATCCCACAGATTTGTTCTCAGTTTGTATGCCTCAATAAAGGATATGACTTTATCTTGTTCGCATTCCATTTCTCCAACGAAAACACAACTACAATGTCAGTAAGGCAAGACGTTACTGAGTACTTAGTACTCAGTACTAACAGTTTGTCGAATGTCGAACGTCGAAAACACGTCCACACACTAAATTCGATCGACTGCTCTTTCATGTGTACCGACAATCGATGGAAAACAAATTGACGTCGATTGATTTATTTTGTCGATCGACACCGTCGATTTCCGTGTACACACAAAGTCGACAACGTTGATAGACAGAGTCGCTCGACAGTGTTGATTTGGTGAGGAAGCACCTTTATATTAAAACACACCTAAATGCTTGCAATAAATAATTAAGGGCCACGTTTAATCCAGATTAAGGTTTTAATCGCGTTTAGTACCATTTTTAGCTATGCACCGTAATAAAAATCAATAACTAGGTTACTTGAAAATTTTTTGTGATTTTTTAATATTAATTTCTCAATAAGTTTCACGGTTTACTATATATATTTTATTGTATAAAACAAAATCTAAAGGTAAGGTATAGTTAAAAGTTCAGTATTAGATAAATAAGGACTTCAACTATTAGAAAAAAATTAATTTTAGTCATAATCTAATAACTTTTTTTTTAACGTTTGAGGCGAGAGGTGTGGCGAAAGGACCTCCTTAACTTGGTATCAAACTGTGATTGGTTAAAATTTTTTGCTCGAGGATTAACTACTTCCGATATTTTTGATTGTACAAGTTTTTCTGAACCACATTTCGTTTTCGTTGGTCAATCTAGGCGTTTAGCTTTATGTAAATTATATTTTTCGACGGCTCCAGTGTGTTTCTTTTTAAGGTGTTTGACAAAATTGGATGTACTGTTCCTAGGTCCACGGATTAAAGTTATGGTATATACTTTCTGGGGAAAAAAATGTCCGTCAAATAAAGGCTAACAGCTAAAGTGTTACTTTCTGCTCTTAATACTCAAATAGCTATTATGTTACAATAATTTTATAAACTGTTATTTAGGGCCGATTCCACCGTTGTGTTAAACGAAGTTTAAAATACTAAACGAAGATTAAAATGACATTTTTATATTAACAAAATACGAAGTTTAAATTACTAAACGGAGTTTAAAATTACATCTTTACATTAACAATATCATTTTAATCTTTGTTTAGTAATTTAAACTTCGTTTAACACAACGGTGGAATCGGTCCTTAGCTACTAGCTATATATTGATAAAGTGTTATTGCCTTCATCATAAATTAATCGTGCTAACAAATGAAGTCAAAAAATGTCTCATAATTTTTCATCTTTTAGTTACCTACCAAAATTAGGTACTACAATACAAATATTTAAGTCCGGCTCAGAACGTCTCCCTACTCCTTCCACCCAGTTCTTCGTTTTTGGCAAAATTCGCGCAGCGGCAAATGCTTCCTATGTTACCTCTACCCTTTCTAACCTATTTGATATTTTTATACGATGGGCAATTCTGTCATTTTTAACAAGTTTTTTATATTCT